TGCATCATCGTCAGTCTACCAATCGTCCTCTGTGCCTTAGACTTCCAGCTCTCCCTCTACCTCCCTCTCCCCTCTGCCATCGACGCGGTCCTGATCCGTTGTCTACTTCAATTCCCGCCCTACTTTGTAAGTATAGCTTTCCGTGCCCGCAACAGACAAGTGCTGTTCAGAAATTCAAAGCGGACGGGTTACTTCTCTTTAGATCCTCCTAACATCATATCCTCCTGTAAGCACTGATTCAAGGAGCTCCCTTCTTTGCCAGTCAAGGATAATGGGATCTTGGAAACATCGACTGGCGCAGACCCGGAATACCCGCATATTGTTTCTTTGAGTTGCCCACGGCCACTGAGATAGAGAGTGCTAATATATCCGAACTATCTACCCTCGTAGGGATCCATCATTTAACCAGCTCACGCAAAGAGCGGAATATATAACACATAACCAGCCACAATGCCTACTCTCAGTTTAATGACCCGCGATGAGGCTGTTCATCGGCTCGCCAAAAGAAACAACTGGGCTGCCGAAAACGCCGGTGTCATGTTGGTTTTCTGCATTCTATTCGTCATCGCCGTTGGTCTGATAATTCTCGCCGTCTACCGATGGAATCTGCGGCGCAAGGCTGCACGTGGGGGTCATTAAATCGAGTTTTATCGGGGTAGGTGAAGAGCCGTTGCTGGCGCGGTGTGAGGATGTTAGTTGGTCGTGGATTCAACGTGAGTGGAACGAGGTGTACATGGGAGCTGGTTGAGATGCGGAGCTGGAATTTGTACGTGGCCGGTTGCCTCCCTTAAAAAAAATAGAAAAAAAAAATCCGAAGACGAACAACATATCCCCCTTTTTCGCCAATCCCAATCCCAGATGCCACCTTGGGAACATATTGGGCAGTGAGCAGCTCCAGTTGCGGTTTCTATCTAAGGGGGCCAATCTGTAATTCGAACCCTCGCAATCCATATTCCAGTCCGCGGAGCTATGGCAACATTGGTCTTTATGGGTCGGATTGGAAAAGACAAAATCCCTGCTATGGCTGGCATGGTTGCGATTGCGGGGCGCGCACAAGCTGCTTATTCCTATCAACGTTTTTTAGATTTTCTTGACATTTGCTCTTTCCTTATCCTTCCCCCTTTTCCTCCCCCATATTTTTTTATTTATTTAAACCACCATCCCCTTGTGACGTTTTTCTTATTGGTTCTATGTTTGTAACGCGTTCCTTTTTAGTTATTGGAGAAATCACGGATCGCGGTACGAATTGGGTTGTTCTCTTGGTTAAATAGTACATATATATTTTTTGTCTGCTTGTCATCAGACTACAACCCCCTTTCTTGTTCTGATAATTAATCTTGTATAGTGTCCATTTCAATAATCATTATCCTCTTTCTTCCCAATTTTCTAGATCTTTCGTTTTCATTTGCAACAGCGCATCTAAGACTTCTCCTTTCCACCCGGACAATACGCTTTTGACGCACCCTATCACGACGGCTGCGGCCTCCCAAACGTTTCTTCTGCTTGTGTCGGGAATTCACCGATGCTCGCCATACCGAAGACAATTCCAGACCAAAAATATTCAAAATTAAGATCTGATTTGCACCCTCTCCCCATACAGTCTGAATGTGTTAGAGTTAACAATTAGATTGCAGAGCGTTGAATTGCCGAGGAATATTGTGTTGCTAACTTGCGTTGACTTACGGTTCAGATACCACCCGTTGGGTCGCGGGATATGTTACAAGAATCAAAGAAAGAATTTTTCTATCTATCGCAAGAAAAACATGGGGGGTTATTTGGGCTATGGATCAAACACTCCATGCTTTCGGTTTCAGTTGATAGAAATAAACGCCCGAATTGCTGTCGCCCGTGGATCATGCGCGGGGGGGGGGGGAGAGATAGGTTAGATGAACCGTAAGTTATGTTCTGTATCTGGGTTTTGAATACTGCTGGTTATTTCCGAGTCGCAGACTGATTTCTGAGAAGTATTATTGTATGGGTTGGGTTGGTGCGACGCAGGTAAACAACGTTGCCAGGCTAAATAAAAGAAAGGAAACTAACTACTCAATCCCGGAGTGATAGATACCACATCCAATGTTTCGGGGAAATTTCCATTTCTAAGGAAGTACAAGTTGCCGCAATAGGATCTTCCAGTTTCTTCCACGACTTTATTTTGCCTTGTTTTCTCCTTACTACTTGTCTTCCCGTTTTTTTAGTATGTTTCAATGTCGTGTGGGCCAACACAAAGCCGTCCAATCGCCCGTTCACCAGAACAATGCTTTAAAGTGCAGAAGTTTTCGGCAAGACGAAGTCATGACAGGCTCCTCGTTCCTCCTAAAAAGTCGATGAGTGACCTCGTCACTCATTGCAAACCTTTAGACGATTTTCAGGTTGCCTTGACTTTTCTTTGACTTTTCTTGGTCTTTTGCAAGGCGTTTCAGCATGCACTTCCATTACATGATATGGGCGGCATTACCCAATTTCAACTCCCACCCCACGCTTACACCCGTTCCCTTCAAGTGATGATGTCGATGTCGTGGTATATATTTCGACTTCTTCCCGCGCCTTGTGTTCGTACCACTACTCTGCTAGACCTTGTCCAGGTGGTCCGGAAACGAGGAGCAAAGTTGCGGGCAACCGTACATTGATCTTCGCGGATTAAACCACCCTTGCCTGCTTTCTCAGATGACTATCCAGGCCCTCTGTTTTCCCTTTCCGCCACAGTGCTAATACAAACCATACCCTACGGATAATGGAACCAAATACATATCCTTCCCTACCTTGCGGAATGGTTTATATACCCTGCGACCCGGGGGCCAACTTTGAGATCAGGGATAGAATAACTATATATGACATTCATCTCCCGCATGCCATATTGTTAACAGTCTTATGTGCCTCACTCGCTTCTTTCTTCTACTATATTTGTATTCATTCTTTGCTTCTGCTTCCAATCAAAAGATCTTCAGTTCACCATCTCGGGTACGATTATCTGGTCCGCTATTTCAGTTTGAAGTGTCTCTGGAAGCCGCCAGCGCGAGTGAGTTCGCTCCATCCTCGGTGGGGTAGTTAAGGTCTCCATCGAGCTTTATAGTGACGAAGTATCTTACCTCCAGGATCACAAGCAAGTCGCTAGGGCTCTACTCGCATCGATCCCGCTACCTGTTCTCCTCCTCGCCGACTTGGTTTATATTTCGGCAAGCCTAACGAATTTATTTGCATCACAACAGCCAAATAACGGCCCACCAAACTGCCCTTTGATGACGTACTTGCTTCACAATATGGATCTATGGCAACAGACGAATATGCCATGTCGTGCATGGTGCACATCGTGTGAATGCAGCTATACCTCCCAACTCACCTGTCCTGTGGGTCAGCTCTACATGCCAGACAATTACCCGCACACGCTTACCACCTTTTCCGATGCATCCAATTCTCAATATAGTATCGATAAGCAAGCTACGCCTCATGTACATGTGCAACAAGACGAGGGGCCCGAACCTCCAGAAATATTTCAGTTGCCAGAAGATGCTTTTTTGGGTGCGAGCCCACATGACATTGCTTATGGAAGTAGCTCAGCAGCTTCCAAGAATTTCAGTCAGGATATAGACATCGACCGTCTAGCATGTGATAAGAGCGTTAAATATCTTGGAGTCAAGAGTGGAGGCGAGCCTCTACCAGCGGTATCAAATTGCCCACCGCCCAAAGCCTTCCAAAAGCAAGCGCAATGCGATTTCACTCAAACAAACATCCCAACAGAGTTTCGTGCCCTACCTCAGACATACTCTCCTCAGCTCAGTACACAACAATATACCGCCCCTCCGAACCAGGCAGGCATAGGCATAGCTACAGATGAAGGCGGCCTTCGGGAAAACTGGGAAGAGTTCGACCACGCGTTTTTAGCAGCGAATTGGGGGCATGGAAGCGCCCAAGTCGCCCAGGAGGCCTATTCACTTTCCGAACCGGATAACGGCTTGATGATGTCTTTTCAACAAGACGACTACAATACCCTGATGCGCGCACCCCGTGCGAGCTATGCCTCTGAGATTCAACAATTGTATCGGGAAGGCGAGCCTTACCATTCAATATCATATACACAGACATCACGCAGCAGGTGACAGAGTATCCGAATCCAGCACCCTCCGACGAAACCGAAGGGACGGTGCGTGGCGACGTGCTCATGTCTAAACTTTGGAGAGTATGATGACGTGGACGTGGGCGGTGGTGAGGACAGTAAGGATGCTGGAGAAGAAAACGACAAGTATATTTGTGTTGGTTCAGATGCTGCTATTGCCACTTATATTACTCCTTATATTGATGATGATATGTCGATGATGCCAGTGGTGTCGATGATAAGGGCGCTGTTGTTGTTACTGCTGCTCCTGCTGGCTATGCAAAACAACGAAAATCCGGCAACGTAGTGCAAAACTTAACAACGAGTACTCCTTACTACTCATGGCGACGTGTTTAAGTAGCAGGTAGCAAGAATGAAAATTTCGCTGAATGGGCTGTATTGGATCGGATTGAACTGGATGCTGCTTCTTTTCTTCTTTTCGATTCCGCTTCGCTATATTGGATGGCTGGTTTACATTTTGTTGGTTGCTTGGCAGACGATATTCTCTTTCAGTTTTTGGAGTCTCGATTTCGATTTTGTCAGGGTTTGTTTTTCCATTAGGTGAGGCGTTTTGTTCTGTGTCCCTTTTGTCGGTGGTGATCTGCTTTTAGAAGAATATTTTTTTGGGTTTACTGCATAGAAAAATGGGGGAAGGAATGGTTGGCATGTGTCATTGATTTAAAGGTCCATCTGTCCTGTTCCATATTTATATTTGTTTTTTGTTATTTCCCATTTCTTTTAGATACCTTTGGAGAATGATTTTTAGGGTTATTTCTTTGGAACCATCCCTTCTTTACGTCTTTCCCATCCCGTCATGCCATTAATCCGCTGGAGCTTTGGAAGTGTGCTGTCCTTTATGACGTGACAGGCTCGGGCGGCGCCTCACCCGACGTTTAGGTGGGGCAATGTCCGAATTTATATCGACAGTGGCGGAAGACGGCGGAAGATCAGCTAACTAGGTCCAACCATCGCTAACTATATTATTCGCTCTTTAATTCCGAACATGGCCCAGAGGGCTGGCCGGAGCCAACTTTCCAAGAGCCAACGTTGGAGCACCCAACCACCGTGCCGAGCCGAGTGTATGCCACCTTCCACGAGGCGGAGAGAAAATTTCAAGACAGATATCTATCTCAGAGATGATGGAGTGCCCATAAAAAGGATGCGAAGGACTCGCAACCAATCTTTCACTACCTTAACTATGTCTCTAGCAGAACCGAGCCCCAAGGTGTCCAGTGGGGCGAATGTTCCAGCTTTTTATAGGCACTTTCTCTGGCTCAGTGCTCCCAGTTATCGATATATTTCTGGAATCCCACTTAGGAACCCTGGCGTGTGCCTCGGGCAGCTGGATGGACAGTGCTGGAGCCGCCCGCCCGTCTGACAAAAGGCGAAGTTGTTTCAATTTTTTTTCCTGGTGTGTGGGAGACAGAGCAGGTTTTGCGCCCTGCGCACTTTGTCCTTCATTTAGTTAATTATCGTTGCTCCCAGTTCTCACGCAGAGTGTGCCATTTGTCAAGAAGCGTAAGCAGGGAGTTTAACGAGCCATACTCACACACTGCCTCCTATAATTCATATTTGCCAGCTTCAGTTTGAATTTCATATCGTTTTTCAAACGTACACCCACTAAACGTAGAAAGCCCCTAATTCTACCATTCCAACATCCCACGGACGGTGGCGCCAGGCGATAACCATGTCCTCAATTAGAGACTGCACGCTAGAGACCTGCCCAATCGAAGCAAGCATATTCAAATACCGTCCCTCCCTACCCGCCAACGCAGCCTTCCTCAGCCTCTTCGGACTATCCGGCCTAATTCACCTCCTCCAGCTCCTCGTCTTGCGAAGCAATTATGCCTTCTCAATCCCAATCTTGCTCGGCTGCATAGGGGAGATAATCGGCTACGTTGGCCGTCTCATCCTATACAACAACCCCTTCAGCATCGACGGGTTCCTGATCCAAATATGCGCGCTGACGATCTCGCCCGCGTTCTTCACTGCCGCGATCTATTTCTGCATTGCGGATATCGTCCGGCTGTTTGGGTGTGAGGGGACGTCGCGGCTGAAACCGAAGCAGTATGCGTGGATATTCATCCCATGCGATATTATTAGTCTTGTGTTGCAAGGGTTGGGCGGCGGGGTTGCGAGCGTGGCGACGCGGAGGCACGAGGATGGGACTACGGGGGTAAATATCATGATTGCCGGGTTGGCATTTCAGGTGTTTAGTCTATTGATATTCATCTTGTTACTAGCAGAGTTCTTTGTTAGGGTTTACCGACGGGGGTATCTGTGGAGGGAGGTTAATGGTTATGAAATCAAGGCTGGGAGTGGTGCTGATGGCATTGGTCGTACGGTTCTTGGGCGGTTATATATATTTTTCTCCACGTTTTCACTCGCTATTTTGTGCATCTTTATAAGATGTGCATACCGGGTGGCGGAGTTGAGTCATGGGTTTGGTGGGAAGTTAATCAGGGAGGAGGCTCAGTTTATTGGGCTTGAAGGAGTGTAAGTTCCCCCCCCCCCCCCATTCCCTTCAACTGCCGTGAACCTTGTATCGGCGCTGGATGTGAGGTTCATCTTGTTTTCTGACATTTTGTATGCCAACAGGATGATCGTAGTGGCTGTATTCGCTCTCAACCTTGGCCACCCAAGGATGCTGACTTTATAAATAATACAATTGTGAATATTATACCACCTACTTTAACTCTACCCAACAAATCTTTGTCACTGCTTTTGGCTGAAGAAGTCATGTTAACAAGGTACCTCAATGGGCCAGAATATAACCTTTTGTCACTGCCCGCGAAGAGTAACTGATATTGTTCGTGTTGGGATTGTTGCCATAAAATCATGCCCCTTTTACCATTGACAATGGATTCCCACCACTGTCAACTAGGCATTGTCGCTTCCGTGCTCCTTTGCCAGTGAGATACTCCCGAGGTCAGCTCCACAATCGTCCTCACTGCGGCTTGACTGCGTGAATTTACGGCCCTGGTCATTATCTGCAATTCTGACCGCACCTCATAGCTGGCCGTTCAATTTGCATGACGGCTCCAGAAGGAGAGCAAGGGAACAATGAGCCGTCATAATGTGTACAGGCGGGTGTACAGTCGGTCGGCGCGGGAATGGTAATGATTAATTAGAGGAATTCTAATTCGCTGGCCATTTATATGATTAATTTAGCCGGCGAACATAGCATGCTCATGCCCAGGAAGAAGACAGCTATCCTCTAGTAATATATGGGTTGCTCTTATTGACACCCGCTCAACACTTCGCGGCATCAAGAACCGTTGCGCATCCCGGTAGTATGACAGTAAAGCTCGCGAACTGACTTGGCTTCATGAAAGATACAGAATTCGGTAGGGAGAGAAGCGAAGGGAATGGATGACCATATCAGAGAACTGGAAAAGCGCAAGACGCATCTGGGCCATTATTTCCCCGGCCCTTCTTCAGCATTCCTCATCTTTGCTAAGGGCGAACAACACGGAATAGCGCCTTTCCAGGAGGCCAATGCAAAAAATCGAAGAAGAAAATAAAGAGCGCAAGAGTGGCAGCTCCTGCGCGACAGCGAGGCTAAAGCACGTTTTGGCTGAACATAACGTGGGAGTTAACTTAACGCACTGGACACGTGGAAACCGACTGCCAGGTTAACAAATGATTCCAGGAATAGCCATCCTAAGCGGTGTTATAATCTAGATAGTTCATATAAAAGGAGGAAAACAAAGGCTTAGCCCAGTCAATGTACACACACAGGGACAAACGGAAGAGGAAACGCAACAACATACAGTCCGATGATGTTAACTACGCATTGCGCTATGAGGGCTAGCCTCCGGGCTTTACTCCGCGTTCGACTCCGCGTTCAGCCTTGAGCCGATGTGAGTGTATGCGAACATTTAGTGCTGACACAAAACTCTGCTGAAATCTCACCGTGTCTGTCCTGGCCGTATCAGTGGTTTCCCGTGTGTTCATAGATTTGATTTTCGACCAAACCATGAAACCAGCCGAACAAAAATTCCGAGGCGATAAAGAGCTAAGGGCGAATGTGGCGTAAAAGTCTATATTTCTCGAAGTCCTCCAAGGTTCCTCTGGCACTTTTCGTATTATTTGGTGGCTTCTTCCTCCAGTTTCAACAGGCTAGTTAAACACGTTGAAAGTTCCGCCCTTGCCGAACAAACATTCTCGAACATCCAGAAGCCACCCACCCGGGATGACAAAAGAACCCAGTCCTGTGGCACTGAAGGCGCAAAGTCAATTTTTCACCAATATGCGGGGGTGGGGGACATTTGTGAGAGCATGAAAAATGATGTTGGACGCTAGCTATTATTATTCGATCAACAGTCAGCTTTCAGAATTATTGTTGATCCTTCAAAGACCTAATAACATTCATCAGAGCTTAGAGCTTACGCTGTAGAGGCAAGAAAAGGGCGAGGTCCCAAGATCCATCTAAGTATTGGTAGAGACGGCCAATCAAACATAATGCTAAATCGAAATCTGAGAACAGGAAAACGGAGAGATAAGAGGCCAAATGGCGGTGGGGGTTGTAAAGGCCGTTCGTTCGGTCAACTTTCAAGGCTTATTTTCCCCTTTTTTTGTCCCGCGGCGTCAGGAATCGCAACTTAAAAGCTCTCGGGCTGAAATCGTCAAGTAGTTGGGGAAGAAGAGGGGGGGAAGAAGAGTCGGCGATGGTTATCAGTATCGCATTTTTTTTTTTTTTTTTTTTTTTTCTCTTTCTTTGGATTTCTCAGGTAAGTTAGGTGATAGCTAAGCAATATGAATAGTCATGCATATATATATATCACCATTTTGCGACACCCTATGTGCGTGTAGTCCCCGTGCTGTATGTGTACAATAATATGGACATTGTTCATACATGTACTGTACATACATACATCTACGCCGGCGATCCGCGACAAGGCAAGGAAATGGCGGAGATGAGCAAAACAGTTTTTGTTCGATAACTTCTTTTTTCCCCCTTTTTCGAGGATGTAGTTAACTTAGTTATGTATGTCCGTTTGTTGGACATGTTGTGTCCATAGTCCTAAACTCAGACCACCGGTTTTTGTGTCCCTTTTGGAAAATAATTGCAAGCACTCAAATTTTTACCGGTGCCATTTTTTCTTTTTCTTTTTCTTTTTCTTTTTTTATTTCTTCTCTCAAGTATACAGACACCTCGAAGATACCTTTGTCTAAAACCAGCAGCAGGGAAAATGAAGTAGTGGAACATAAAGCAAAGGAAATGAGTTGATACATGCTATTATCTAGATTTAATTGCCTTATCTAACAAGTTAACCAGTGTGACTCGGGCAGGCTTATGTGCTATGCTCCTCCCTGACTGTTGCTGCATGATAGCGATAGCAATGAGAGGAGTAGAGGGCAAGACGGCAGATACATAAAAGTACATGTAAGAAATTGTCTGGCGCAACGTCAGGAGTATTTTTAAATGATATAGGACAGATGGAATGGTAGTCCCTACTCCACGAAATGTAAAGCTTTCTTTCGAATGCAAAGACGGCGGGTATGGCGGGAGTAAGCGCAGCATAATTTTCGCTTTTCGTGGTAGAATTTGTATAGGTCGTTTCTTTTTTGTTTTTTTTTTCCTTTCCGTAGATTAACTGCCCTTTCACCGAGAGAGCGGCGACAAGGTTGGGCGACCGAATAAGGAATAGAACCGACAGGTTGCATGGTACCATTTTATGGCATGTTTCCGTGCAGGTTATAACGGGGAACGGAGATCTCGTCTCACATAAAGGAAATAAATGTTGTACGGTAACGGAGAGGTAGGGAATATGTCGGGATCAAGGAAAGGGATCAGGGCTCCCTTTCAATCGCTGGAGTATACAGAGAGCCTTGCACGGTAAATAAAAATATTAAAAACGGTGAAATTAAAAGACTGTAGGGCTATGATCTGAGGACAGGAAGGCGTTAAAAAAGGAAATCACCAAGTCGTCTATGGAAAATAACTAGAAGGAAAAGGAAAAAGGAAAACTCTAGCCCAAAACTCCAACGCCCAAATATCAAAGTATCATTCCTCTAATCGTCTGTGCCAGGTACGTGGCGGTGGAGGCATCCGCGTTTCGTTCACAGAGCTATCAGGCGAGGTGCTGTTATCTTCCGCCAGTTCGGTCGTGATCTCAATTGTCGTTTTCTGGTAGACTTTACCAAGTTCGCTGAGCTCTAGAGGTTGCACAATGCTATCCGTCGACCCGTCACGATCTCCACGAGTGTCCCTTTCCGTCACCTGCCGCCGGTGAAGAATGCTGTTGTCTAAGCGCGACTGTTTATGGTCCGCCGTGACGGTTGTGATGTGACTATGCCCGATACGCTGAGAAGGGTAGAAGCGGTCAACGTTGCTAGGTTCAGAGTCCATAAGAAGCGCCCGTCGGGTCAGGGTGTACATGATCACATCCACGAATCCGGAGCTGGCAATAACTGCACCAGCAGTGCAGAAGTAAGTGACACTTAATTTGCCTCCTCTGGCGGTCGCCATGCGGCCAGCTGCAAGTGGCAGCGATAAGATAAGGTATGCAATCGGATACAGGACCATGTATCCAATTACTCTTCTAAGGCGGCGGAGATGTTCTTTTTGCCCTCTTCCTAGAAGGGCGGATTGTGCAACTTGGTGGCGGAGGTGGAAAAACAGGATCATATACAGCACGACGGATCCGAACTCTGCAACAAAAATCCACACGTAATGTGTCCACAGTCTGTCTGCGTCGTACACTTCATCGATCCAACACTAGAGTAGAAAAAAGGAGAAAAAAGAAATTTGATATGTTAGCCATTGTAAATGTCTGGACAGGAAATTTGATTTTTACACACCCATGCGCCAGATGGAACGTAAGTTTCCCTCCCATATCGCAATGTAGGAATGAGTGTTAAAAGCACAGCAAAGGCCCAGACAAAACACACGCAAACTATGAACCAACGATGAGAGAGTTTCCTCCCCATCAGCACCATTGCGAAGGTATGGACAGCAATTGCCAGAACGAACAGCCCGCTGGACGGATCACCGATCTGTAGTAACCACCCTTGAGTGAAGCATATGTGTGAGTCGGCAGATATTCGGTTCGTGATAGCCCAATGTAATGCCAGCAGAAATCCGACAGCTTGTTGAAAATCCGCTAACAGCAAATTGTAAATCAGGATAATGTATTGATTATAGCCAATATATGTCGAATAGTATTTTCGCCAGTAGACTAAGCGGTAAGTGAACACGATGAATAGGACTCCCGTAGAAACAGTCGAGATCAGGGAGGTAACGCCAACACCTATGAGACCTCTTCGGTGGTCTGCCGGTAAAGGATCAATTGTGAATGGAGTGACTCTTCGTGGTGCCAGCGATCTCGTCTCGTGGTGACTGGAACCCGCGGGACCGTATGCTGCCCATAGCATAACGGCTAGATTCATGTTGGCTTCTAGTATAGTATGTATGGACTGGTCCTCTTGTAGCCGTGTAGCCGTGGGGTTTGCTCTTCTTACTCCCTTCACATCCGTGCTTATGGATGCGTTTGAAGAGAGGAGGATCTCAGAAGGGATCTAAATGATATAAGACGATAAGGTCGGCATCTGCTTGAGGACAAAGTTTCAATAATAGTGACAATGGTATGAACATCAGCCAGCTGGGGGTGTCAGCAACAGCTTAAAGTTATGGAGTGATGATATTCAGAAAAATCTGGGGAATCGGTTCATTTTGTTCAATTCCAACTCCCTCCCGGGGATGGGGCCACAAAGTCAAGAGGGGGGGGGGGGGGGGTGGAGAATGGCTGAACAGGGATTTGCGAACTAAATAAGCTCATTTTGTACGACCAGATATTCCAGTTGACAACATTTTTGCTCCTGGTTAATTCTCCGGTAAGCGTCTGGCCAAGGGTGGATGACAGGACCGTCCCTTGCGTGGAAGCTGTGACACCCTGTCTCTTACTAGTGCAGAGTTTGGTGGGTTTGCGGGTGCTTTTTTGCAGGGGCATGAAAAGATAACTAGCGCTCGGCGGCGCTGGAGACATATGTTTTCTGTCCAAGATCCAGAACATCGCGTTTGCTTATGATCCCCAGCTGAATTGCAAGAGAGGCGAAAAAATCCCAGGCTACCGTACCACTACGTTCTCTCGTTTTCTCAGAATCCAATGAGACATCGGGTTGTCCATTGTTACCGCTCCGTCTTCTGCTGCTGGAATTGCGAATCAAAGGCCCAAAGGACAAAAATTTTGGGGTTCAGGACGGACCCCAGTTCTGAGGTTCCCGGGAACAGACCGATATGTGGAGGTCTGAAGTTGCCAGGCCACTTTCCGGCGGGAATTCTACGGAATCCCCTCAGGCTTCTGTCAGCTTGAGTATCATTCTCCTCATGACATGTCCCATTACCGCGGATTCCCTGGACAGCCGAGCGCGTAGGTAAAAATTCGCAGCCTATTGCGCCAACACATGGTGGGATAAAGCCCTCACCTCCATGCTCTCACCCTCTTGTTCCACAAGAATCATACCACAGCTTATTTAGCATACTTGGTCAAAAGGCGGTAGTGCCTGGTAAGTAGGGCTTCAGGCAATGCTTTCTGCGTTTCTGTTTTTTTTTTTACTAGTATTGATTGAACCAACAAACCTCCAATTATTATTATTGTTAATAGGAATAGCGGAATGGAGAATTATTCAAATTAAAGACGCCCGTGACGAGCGAGACCAGGAGGTGACACACCAGTGCACGAACCCGAAATGACCCATACCGCCTGAATCTAACGGTGAGAAGGAAACATAGCGTAAGGTCCGTGGAAACGAGAATGAGCAACAACTAGAATTTGTAAAATTCAAATGGGCGTTGTGTTAGTTGGTACTTGCGTGGTGATAGTTAGTTATTGTCCCTAGATGCTTATCGACTCGGCCAAATTCACGATTCAGCGAAAGTGGCCATTTTGACCTGACCCACCTTGGGGCAAATATGTTTTGTGAGGTGCGGTGCACGAATTGCAAGTATTCAACTATTTTCACATTTTCGCATCACTGATATCACACCGTTCGCTGATGAAATCGGTGTCGGCGATATAGTTACCAATTCTTTTCATCGGCATCCCTTATCATCGGAATGTCACGATCTGCTCTCAGATCTGAGTTGTGTGGTTGTGGAGAAAAACACTGTATACCACATGCTGGTTTCCACGGACTCAAAAAAAGTATATGCTGTATGTTTTCGTACAGGATGGGGATGGGATGGGGATGGGGATGGGATGGCTCTGACTGACCATCACCATCATCCAACCAAACCAGGAAAAAAAAAAATCACCTGACGGCCTAACCCTACCTAGGTACCATCCTGATTTCTTCGACCATCCTATTATTTAATTATTGTACGGAGTACTGTACGGAGCACGGAGTACTTGGAATACACTCCTTGGGAATGATCTGAAATTCATCATGCATGCAGGATGAAAACGAAACAGTGGCTAAGCATACGATACGGTCTCCAAACAGACAAGCGTCAACCTGGCTACAGAAATCGAAAGATATTTTTTTAAATAATGTCGAGCTTCCACCAATAATCTCTATCCCTTGGTTGGCAGGGTTGTCCTTCGTGAAAGTACGCAGTAGGGCACCAATCGCTAAACACACCTAGTAACTATCGCATGGCGAACAGGGATTGTACGCCACCACCAAGCCTTCACCCAAGCAATGATGGTTCTCTCAGACAGCCAGCCAAATTCAAGAACGCGAGATCCACGTCTTATTAGATAGAGCTTGCCTACGCTGCGTAGTGCCCACTTGGAGTGGATAGTTACAATGTGGGGGTGGCATTTTGTTTCCATATCTTCAAGTGCGCTACTTCGTACTTGTCACTCAAGAGAGGGAAGAGAAATAGTCAGATCTTTATTATTCTTGAGTAGTTACCGTGCTATTATTATCAGTGTCTTGATACGGACCCAAATCTATCCAGAGGTTGCTTTCAAAAAGCGCAAGCACTACTCCGTACCGTACTGCATAGTTAGTTGGGACGACCCCCGGGAAAGACCTTGATCTGGATCGGCGAATGTCAGCCCATACCTAGCGTAACTAGCGTTAACTAGTTAGATCAAACTTTATATTTTGAGGGAATGCGTTTGGGATCGCAAAGCCCGATCGAAGGAGTTCCCCTGTCACAACTCTCTCTGGGGGGCAAGATAGCAGGATGGATATGATATGGATGCTACTGTCACAAAGCCCCGCCAATAAGCAAGCACTAAAAAAGCTAGTGTATCCTACCCCCCCCCCCCCCCGGATTCGACAAAGTTCCCCCAGCCCAGTGACCCTTGATACGACCTCTTCTCAGCAGCCTCTCTCCCCGGAGGCATCCGTTAGTTACTCGAGCTCAAGCTCAAGCAACCCTCGGCATAATATCGGTTTCGTCAGTATGCGATGCGGCAACACCAAGTTGTTTTTTTCGAACGTGATCCGCGAAATACTGTACCTACTTCATGAAGTGGTGTTTGGTAGTGTGATTATCGTGAACTGGCACGGTTAATTGATAGCTTTGTTTGTTTCGAAGCATGATAATATCATCTCCCGAGTCCACCGTGAAAGATCAAGCTGTAGCTGGTTGTGAATAGTTATCCAATATCCGGGGAAAGGGGGTTGCAGATTGTCTGCATTTTAGAACTACAGCCTGCTGATGAGTGACTGAACTTGCACCCAATACTCCGCGATAAGCGGAGTGAATTATCCGAGTATCAAAATCTGTTCCTTCAGCAAATAGACGGGCCGCTGTTATTCCATATCCTTTTGATCAACGGAGACATACGGAGGATCCTCTCTAAAGTTTTGATTAGCACTAAGAATTTATTAAGGTGTAGTTAACTAACTTTGTTACAGGCATAAAATAAAGTATTCCCATTCCCTCTCTTAACCAGAGTTCGAAGGGAGGTAACTTTAAATGTCTGTGGCACCTGAATAACCGGCTACAGCTTAACTAAAGCTAGCACAGTACGGAGTAGTCACTGCACTACAGCTTAAATTCTTAGCGCTAATCAAAACTTTTGAGAGGCTCCTCCGTACTCCGTACATATTCCCATGTTCGGACACGCAGAAAAACCAACAAGTGTCGTATGTGGCTGAATGACCCCGCAGTTTTCCCCAGAGACGAGATTGCATTGCTGTGCTAGCTAGTGCTGACATCAAAATGTTGGTTGTGGAAATGGCTAAACAGCTAAAAATTTCAATACAATCATCGCTTGAACAGTCGTCCAAGTAGAATTTTGGACAATGATATGATAGTAATGGAGAGGCAAGAAACTCCGCCACCAAATTCCAACGCTTTCACTTTCATCACAATGAAGCGCTCTATTAGCGGCTTGTCAGCCACGCGACACATGAGAATGCATGAATTCTACGAGGCCTCTAGCAAGTCGAGACTTGTTCTTCTTCACCTTTGCACCCACATTGGTATGGGTATGTGGTGAAAGTTTCCAGGCGTTCGCCACAGTGTGTCTACCCCACGGGCGTTCGCGTGTAAGTTACCAGAAGTGGTCCAGGGGCACAAAATTGACTCTGCTTACCCGACCCGCCCGGGGTGTGTGTCATAACCAACTTAAACCAAGGTCAGTGGTTCCACTTAATTAACAATTTGCCCTAAAACCAACATGTCGGGCTGCCAATTGGACAATATCGCCTGCAGTAAGGGTAGCTAAATGGGACAAGCCGAGGAGGCTGTAACCAGCTCCAAAATATACGAAGGAGCAGAGACCCACCCACGGGAGTTAACAGAGTATCCATGGATGCCATGGGGTGAGTATCTCTGTCTTCCAGAGACATCAACCATTTATTATTATTATCATTATTACAAGCATCAAACCTACCTACCACTTCCACTCTCTACCTCTACCCCCCTCTTCCACCCCGTATCACCCCTATCACCATTATCAGATTAATCAGAGCTATACAGGCTACAGAGCTGACTATTCAATCTCATTCATGAATTCAAAGAGATGCACATGACATCATATAAGATCATGTTACAGAGTATTTAGCAGCCCATATCATGAACACAGAGATCAAAATGAATATAGAGAAGAGTACGGAGTATAAGAAATGTAAATACTATACTATAGAGAATGTATGAAAACAGCAGAATGAAAAAAAAGATTGAATATTTGAAGATTGATCTGAGCTGTATGAGCTGGAGCATTCAAATATTTTTGATGAGATGCATGTGATGTCATGTTACAGCGTTTTTTGCATGGAAAAGTTGGTTTTTCTATAATAATAGAGAGATAAATAGAGAGATCAGAGGAGTTAGCTACAGTATATTACATACGAGAGATCATGTGTAGATGGAGCAAATTGCTAGGACAATGCCACTGTGATGTCATGTTACAGCGTTTTTTGCATTGAAAAGTTGGTTTTTGAGAGAGATTACTCCGTATTCAGTCAGAGACTACGGTGTATGCAGCAAACCCCAACCCCCCCCTTCTCCAACAACGCCTTAATCGGAGGGCAGAATTTATCTCCAATCGCTCATCTGGCTAACCCCCACTGGAAGGGAGGTACTGTACTGTCACCGTACTGTGGTCTGGGCTACCCCTATATTTTCGTTAGTGGCCCCCTGAAATTATAGAGCCCTGCTAAACCGAAATACCGGGGGGGGTCATTTATATGAATTATTGCACTGTGTAATTATTATTACTTCCACCTCTAGTTACCTCAAATGTCATCATACAACATATCGTACAAGGAATTCCCAGGGCTACGGCCTGACTCCCATTCTCGTCGCCTTCGGACCGGTCACTCTCTGTCCAGCAACCCGGATGTGCTCAAGGCTGCCTCTCCAGCGGCAACTAACTCAAAATTCGAAGGATTCGCTGCTTCCCTCTGACATGCTTCAAGCTTGCGGATCCGTGAATCCTAGGAAGGCTGACTGACGGTGATATAAAGGAAACATGTGAAAACTGGGAAAGAGGAGTTTGAAATGGATTAGGGGGGAGGATGAGTTATTGCATATGATATGTGTGTGTATTATCTATCTATATATCAACCAGGATTCGAAGCAATCGAAATGAAGGCCGCAATATCATTCATGGATATCCAATTGAAGCCCTGAATTTGGCTGAGGACGCTGAGCTTACCGCGCATCAACCTCCTATCTATCACTCTGTGGTAACCCTGACAGTCCACGACGTGACATAGGCAGAACGCACCTTGTGAAGGAAGGCTTTGTCCTTGTTAGGTATCTTGACATGTCTCGCAAACGGGTTTGGACTTCAACCTATCTACCCTACCTCTAAAGCTACGAATAACCGTAGGCGTTTCATTGTGGTCCCTGCGATGGAGCTATGCTTAAACACCCTTTGTTCTGAAGGACAAGGTGTGAGATAAGAACTAAATGTAAAACACTTGAGAATGATACTTAGAGTGATTTTAAGGGGAAATAAATATAAGTATTAACTCGGATGGAAGAATATTTGCTAGGTCTTATACATATTACCGCTGAAAATAAATTTTGATTACAGTAAACAAATCCATCCAACGATATTAGAAACGTAGCAAATTGTTATTTCAAAAAGTGAAATCGAGTTATTTACTCAGTACGAAATTATATAGCGAGCATGAAGTCAAAGATTTATACCACATCATAACCAAAGACATAGGCAACACGAACAATAACAGCACGAAAACACAGCAAATGGCTTCTAGCAGAATATATATCCCCGCGTTTTTGCCACCTGGAGAAGGTATTATCAGGGGCTATTTGGCGCAAGCTGGAGATTTTTCATATGAAAATCATAAAAAGCAAATAAAGAGAGCAGACTTGCGTTCTCACTGACTCGAATAAAGCGAGACCCCTTTTCCATCCCTAAGAACGAATTCGACGAAGTGGTAAAGGTGGGCTCTGCTGTTTTCCCCCTCCAATGCTCATCTTTGGGTTAAGTTAGATCCAAATAGAAAATAAAATGGGGTAATTGGTGCCATTCGTGAGCGAATGACATTCGGGTAGGTACCTACATATCAAGGGTATAGCATAGTATCAAAAGAAAGAGAAAAAGAAAAAGAAAGAAAAAAAACAGTATCGGAGATTAGATGTGTAGCAATAGCAGATCATCTTGGTCTCGACTTCGGATATCATCCATCAATGCTTAGATATCCCTTGTTGCACTTAAATCATTTCAAGGTAATGGCACACCAACCCTGTCTGATTGAGGAACTGGCCGAAAACGGGCGTTCGTGCAACAAACAGGATGCCGGTTTCCTGCGCAAAATCTGCGCCAATTTAAATATAATAAAACCGTTTGGCAGGAAACAGGGCTGACAGACGACGGGACAATTTGAAACTCAAGAAACAAACAGTGCGAGAAATCGACGACTAGCAAACTCTTGAACGCATTTTATTTTATTTATCAATTTTGTTTAACACAAACTTCCACACCATTCAGCAATAGATACCGTGTATCTTAAATAGTCATCATATGTGTCCAACTGCTAGTCTTGTGTATACGTCCAGTAATCCATCACACCCCCGTTATCCCAATAAGGCTGGAAGATATTCAGCGAATCCATCGTAAACGCAATACCAAGGGAATTCGCGATGGAATCCTGCATAGTCTGGTCCTCCAGCTGGCCACAAAGACTGCCGCCACTGCCGTTGGTCATTTGCGTCCCGATGCTACGATTCTGAAGCGGGTTGGCACTGGCGATCTCAGATATATAAGAAGAGGCCTGGCTGGACTTGGTGCCGCTCTGGGAGTGATTGAGGAGTATATCAATCTTAGCGATGAGGCTGTGCGTGACGTTTGCGGCGCTCGCGGCGATGGCGAAGTGGTTGCCGAAGGTCTCGAAGACGGTGATGGCCTTGTTGATTGCGTTGCGCGCGATCGGTGTCAAGGGGGTATTAGGGTGGGCCAGGATGAATCCGATTAGGGAGAGTGAGGCGTTCCACTGCCACTGATATGCTTCATGCCAGCCGGGGAGAATGTCGGATTCGTTGAGGATTTGGTGGATAATATGAGTGATTGCCATTGCATGTTTGACGCAGGAAATGGCGTTGCTTTCAGCGTTGGGTCTGGAGATTGGAGAAAAGCAGATAAACGGGCGATACAGGTTCATGGAGAGGTTATGGTATAAAAGCTCCAGAAGCACCTGTTGCCGCTTCAACCACTGAGGTGCAAATCGCTCTACTTCTACCGGTGATCTGTCGGTAGAGAAACGCTCTCCATTCCCTTGTCGTTTCATTTTCAACGCCTCTGGCACGTTGGCTAGCCATTGCTGGAGAGCCTGCATATTTAACGAAAGGAATTCGGCTGCGTTCTCCAGGCCTTCTGGATCATTGTATAGGCTCTTCCCGTCATTTCTACCAAGGATTTCAGAGCAATGGTGATAAAATGCCGTGTAGATGGTACGGGTGGTGATTAACAGTTTAATATGATGTAGGCCGTGGGTAAGCCATGTGATGTCTTCGCCAAAGGAGCCAAAGTTAGAGCCGGAATGTAACGCTAGCTCATGATCGTCAGCTGGTAAACTGGCAGTGGCCTGGGAGAGTTGGGCGTAGAACGGCCGTCCGAGCTTCATGCATGTTTTGCTTTCTGTGGCATACAACGTCCACCACAATCGTTTCCGCAACTCCCTTTGCGGTCGCGGCATATCCTCTGAGGGTTCCGTGTGGATTCCTAGAATATGAGCTGTCCGAACAGCGACAGCCAAGGTGCTATGCGCCATGTTTTGGAATGACGCATTGCAAAGGAAGAAGAGGGAGAACATGTGGCATTGCAGAGTAGATATCGAGGGGCTTTCAAGCTCGGGAGCAAGTAAGGCTTGACATCGTCTATAAAACCATCGGCCTGCGATTGTCGCATCGTTGCTATCGACATCCGTCTTTGATGTAGTGTTTGCATCAGGCCGCGGCAAAGTCGCAACGCCATATTGCATAGTTATAGCAAGGATAATATCAACCAGTGCTGATGGTCTTCGAGGTTTCCCGGGAGTGTCCCAGAGAGACTTGTAGTACTCTCTAAACTCTCTTTCATCCAGAATTGGCAGCGTAGAATGATACGACTGCCAAAATAGATTTAAGAAGTAATCTTCCTGCGTTCCTGTCAGATCGTCACCATCTATCGGTATATCGGCGGATAAAAGATTCTCTTCGATAGGTTCGTTCTTTGAACTAGTGGGGCACGCAAAGGACCTGCTCGCGGAATTGGGGTGAAAGTGATGATCCAGATGCGGCTGCTGGAGAGCCGTGGCCAGGTAAGAACTTAGGCGACCAATGTAGTAGCACAGAGATGAAGGGCCATAAAACTGAGTCTGCTGAGACTTGGCCGTCCTCGCATGGATTCCTTCCCAGTACCTCCTCTCGGGCCTGCCTGGCTTAAGAGCATCGAGTCCCTCGGGTGTGTACGCCGTCAACGACTGTGGTGGGCTCGGGGGAAGTACAACTTCCTTGGTTTCGGGCTGCTTGGTATCCTCAAGTTGCCGTTCTAGGTCTTTAATGCGCCGTTTTAATTTCTCGATTTCCCTACTCAGTGTGTCAGCCAAACGATCCATAACGCTGTCCCCGGATCCGGGGGTGGGGGGGTATAGGAAGAACTGGAGACAGCAGAAGACACCAACCTAAGAGCGTGAGGCAGCGTCCGCATCTCACTCTCCCCGTTGCTGGTACATTTCTCCCCTCTACCACGGCAGTTGGCACACGGGCGGTCATTGTCACATCTGACCCGGTGTAGGCGGCACCAGTCGCAGGCTCTCGCAACCTGCCTGCGTTTGGGCCGTGCTGGAGGTGCACACCTAAAGGGGAGTTGCTCAGATTGGCTACCTACCGCAGCGGGTTGGGACGAGCCTGTGGAGGTGGTATGCATCATTGCGGATTCGGACTCGAGAGAAGAATGTCACACTGTTCATGCACCCAGCTTGGGATATCGATGCCTCCTTGGCGGAGATTACTCCGACTGGTTCCGCCACGGTTGGTGTTGGACTTAGCGCGATGATATCCCTGCGCTTGAGATCTAGCGCTGAGTTTCTGAGAGAGCGCTGCCGCCATTTTCGTCCTCTTGATCGATGCGAACTCGTTTATACGTGTACTCTCCCCCAGTGCTGCATATGAGTGTGGCTGTTCTCAGAAATCTCTGTGTAGAGGAATCGAATCACGACGACACATTGCTCTCTGCGTTAAATCTATCAAATAACTTCCGCTGGCTGTGGAGACCGTGGGGCAGCGTCAAGTAGTAGAGTAGAGAGTGAGAGAGAGACAGCCTAGCCGAAAGGAGTTGCTCCGATAGCTGATGGAAGAATTGCACCTCCGGATCTCCAGATGGGCTAGCTCATCGTTCTCGTTGTCTCCCTTGAATTGATGCCTGACTTGCGGGTTTGCGGCAGGTCAAAACTACTCTGAAGAACGGAGAGAAGCTGGCTTTAGCCATGTCATATCCACCTACTCCCGCTCTCAACTGAGTTACCTCCCGTTTTCCTGAGCAGGCAGACTGCTTCTAATCCATGGATAAAACCTGGTAACCCAAAAGAGGGTGAATTGAGGCGGGAATGACATTTAGTCCACATCGCTCCTATCACGGCCCAGAGGCACGACGACATCCACGGGTGTATGAAATGAGGGTGCTTCGGCCTTGCATTGGATAATCGATGCTTCACAAAACCAAGCCTGGCCCGCATGCCTGATCCTGATCTGCTATGGCGTGTTTGTCGAACGCAGCCGTGTGCGGCCATCCCGCACAAGGAGCAACGGGGATAAAATACGGGTCCCAGGGGATGATTCCCAGATGATGGACCGTCCATCAAAGCTTAATGAGACAGAGACATAAATACTTCCCGCCACTACCGAGATACGGCGGGCGCTGCGAGGGACAGTGAACCCTACTATCTCATGTTACTGGCTGAATGTATGAGGACATGGACATGAACATGAACATTTATTGACCAGTTCCCGATACAAAAAAAGGTAGCAAGATCGCCATGTTCTGGAGGAGCTGCACTCCGGCGGTTCCAATATAAATCCGATTCAATTGCGGTACCAGTATGGTACCCGTCATCTTGAATCGCAAAATAACTTCGTTCCCCATTTCTATCCTTCTCCCGCGGCAGCTTACGGTAACACTGCGCACCTCGCTGTGCGAAAGCTATTTCTTCTACAAAGATTCCCAGCCTGAAGTCTCTTTCCAACACCAAACCAATCCCTCTGGTGCGAGCGTAGGTACAGTACATAAGATCTCGTTGCTTCCTTTTCTCCTCCAACCTTCCCATTCCCCTTGAACTTTCTTTTTCCCTTCCTTAATTTGCTCTCAATGCGTCACTAACACTACATCAGCCGCCAAACTCTCCCAGAATGGGTGACCGCTCTCTGGTTCAAGCTATGGCGATAAAGTTGAAGAGACGACTGCTGCAACCCCGACGCCACCTTACTTGGGTATCACTGATGTAAGAGTCAACTGGAGTAAGTCACATTTTGCGGAATATCAACTGGAACGTTCTCGTTTGCCAAGGGCTAAAATTGAATAGTAACAAGTCTACTATTCAAGCTCAAGCAACCTCTATCGTCCTGAAGGGACGGGGCCGATTTTCGGTAACGGCGTGAGTGCCAAAGCAAATAAGATATGCAAAATCCCAGCACGGAATCGCAAGTTAAAGTTAACGTCATGGTGTCCCTATTCCTACGTCTTGGAAAACATTTCGCCTCGTGAAGCATCGATATACTCAATTAACAGATATCCTTGCTCAAGGGTACCGTTCTCTCGGCTTTGGTGTTGCATATGGGCTGTTCAAATCAGTGGACAGTCCACATTCCATCCAGGTGTGGAATTGGTACATCGGGACAGTTCTGCTTTGGATCCATGCATACCTGCCCTCTTCACGAACGGATTTTCTCATCTGTGGTTCCCAGGGCAAGGTTCCACTCTCTCCAGCCTAGTATACCAAGGGAAATCGGATCATCAATTTATTATTCCCCGCCATCACTCTCTCAGTCATCGACGCCATCGCGGATGCAAACTCTGAAGCTTCCATGTATCTAGTCCTCGACATGAATCTACTGAAGCCAGGAGCTGAGATGATGCACAGTGGGTTTCAACAATCAGGTTTGCGATTCCGGTGCAGATGATTAAAATAACAAATTATCCCACCCCGGGTACTGCAGCTCATGGAGGGTATTGGAACCATCATCTTTTGCAGCAGCACGTGTTTCGGCGGGGCGGACAGCTGGCGCAGCATGGCCCTGGGACACTCCTTTCAAACCTTTCTTTTTTGCCCTGTAGCTGGACACAAAAGTAGGACGGAGCAGAAGGACGTGAATCAATCCCGACCAGAATTCAGTCACCTTCGAGCAGCAGGTGGTTTGACAGAGCTTCTGCCAGCTCAGGTCAACAAATATGTCCCCTGTTGAGGTAGAATTGGCCAGGTGGCTGACTGTCTAATCAATCCCCTTCGAGTGAGATTAGCCCAGGGAGATACAGGCACTGGGGTGGCTTTTATTTTATTCGGGTTTTGACATTGCCTATTTTGCGCAATCCGTGTTTCAATTAGTTTAATTGGTTTGGCAGGCGGTTTGCTTGGCGGGCGAAGGCAGGATATATTTACATACAGCAGAGTGAGTGGGTGGAAGATTTTCCCCTTCTTCATCTTGCACAACAAAAGCATCAGGAAGGGTTTGGCATCATCTTCCATGACACTGATGGACAAAAGAAAAAAAATAATAATAATAATGGTAGAAGAAGAAACAACAAGCAAGCCTTCCGCTCGTGAGCATCGACCCGACCTCCTCATCCTGACCTAGACCTGGAGTAATTATCGGAACTCAATCAAAACGTGATAATCAATTATTAATGAACGATATGGAGGTACAAAACCATCGAATCGCGTTAATTATGAAAACACAGTTGAATCTTAAAATGCACTGGGAGGGGAGTACTAAACATTTACATTAACAAGGTAGGTAGTTAAGGTACTATTAATTAATGCTAAACAAAAGAGGGAGTGAAGAACTCTCTTTGATTATAACTAGTTAAGCGTAGAAAATAAAAGAACGTAAAATATTAGATGGAGATGGAACTGGAACTGGACGAAAACGACTCCTTCAAATATATATATAAATATATAAATAACTAACCCTGCACGATATCACTGAAACAAAAAAGAGATAAAAAAAGAAAAAAGAAAAAAAGAAAAAAAAAGAAAAAAAAAGAAAAAGAACAAGGAAGAAAGAAAGAAAGAATAAAAAAAACCAACAACTTTACATACATTCATTCAAACGTTCAATCATTCATTCATTCCATCAAATCTGCGAGATCTCATGTGTACACACAAACTCAAACACGTAAACGCTTCTACATAATTGTTTCAACTCATAAACACATAGAGAAACGTGACCTGTCGAAAAAGAAAGCAAAGCACTGCTTTTTCGCCAAGAAGGAAAATAAACAAGAGATGAAAAATTTGAAAAATTGAAAAATGAAAATGCGCGCGAAAAGGATGCAAAAAACGGATAAATTATCCATTGAAAATATGAGCCGGGACCTGCAGTGGGAAGTCAGTCGACGGGCGATCAACAGCGGAGAAGAAAG